AGCTCCCTCAGGTTCTCCCAGTGGGCCACGGATTATTGATCTATTCTTATATTGATGTCAAAAACAATTAACTCACATCATCTTTCTGTTCTTGATGTTCTTGGTTAACATGTACACTAAGTTTTATTTCGGCTCATGTCCTCACAGCCTGCCGGCATTTGTAAATATTTACTAAAACACCAAAATTGCCCTGTATATGGAGATGCATATTTCAACAGGTTTCTATCAACATTAGAAGTAAGATATTCCCCTCAGTGCATAAAGAAAATGTATCCTTCAGTTCATCGAACAGTAGTAAGGAAATCTAAATGACATGAAATGTTAAGTAGGATGGTTTCAGGAGGCATATTAAAGATTTGTATCATTTCTATCAAAACACTGCATTTGATAAACAATGATTAAATCATTATTGTCTCCTCTCTCCTCACTCAGGAGACGTGTCATGTGTAATGGTTAGACTTTAACTCAAAAAACAAACATTGTCGCCTGTGCTGCTGTGATTCCTTGCGCATTAGTTCTTCAACGGGAGTAATTCCACGGAGAGGACGCGCTGCAGCTCTCATCTGCCTGAATGTCTGCTCTACTTCCCTCTGTCTTGTTACGGCCCCTGGTGACTCACACACAAACACACTCATGCACACACACACACAAAAACTGAAGCATCCTGAATTCTAAGTCAAGCGTTCGCATTGCATGTTATTTATATTGTTTGTATTGTGTCCTGAATATATTTATCTGCAGTGAAATCAATGGATTTATTCAAAGTCTCTGTCATATTACACGCAGAAAATATTAGTTTGAATGCCAGAAAATCAAGTGTTTAATGCATGGGCTTTTTAAATTAAATAAAAATAAACTGCAGAGCATGAACTGTTGATATTTAATATTGTTTTTCAGGAGCAGGTTGTCCTTCTCAAAAACAAAAGTCAGACTGGCAGTGGATTTATTGCCTCTTCACTTACTTTTTTTAGTGGTAATGTGTCCCAACCTTTAAATGCTAATAAAAGAGGGTAGCAAAGCATTGCTTTCAGCCTTGTGTTAAATAACTCTTTAAAGTCTAAACAGTGAATCAAATGTTTTTTTGTCTCTTCCATCACCAACTCCTCAGCTCTAAAAGGTTTTTAGCCTCTCATCTTATTTTTTTGGTTTCAGCAATAGTCCAAGGTGTGTTAAAACAAGTTTAACCTGGCATCATTTGTCCAAATCTGACAGCTTGACATCTGTTTAATCGGCCAACACATTCAACACATCCACTGTAAATTAGTTTGTAATTTAACAAGAAACATGCAGCAGCAGCTTGTGTGACAGCATGCCTGTTAGTTCAACCTCTGACTGATGTCAGCAGAAACTTGGCTCTTCAGTCTCTCTCCTTTGTCCTCCTGTCTTTGTATCATTCATGAAGGCCCAGGACACAAGCAAGATTTCATGAATTGACGCTGCCTGCACCCTAATTTCCCCTAATCAAGTCTTTCTATTCACTTTTAATGCAATCAAGCTACTTCTAAAATCACTTGGTATTCTGTCTGTACACGGTCAGCCTTAGTGCTCTTACAAACACCTTTTTCTGCAGAATTAGGCAGCATCTTTAGAAAGCATGAGCACACTGCATTGTACCTGTCCAGTATCTCAGATACATTAAATGTGCATCTAATTGTTTAAAGATATATATTTTTGGGACATTTTTGCCTTTATTGGATAGGACAGCCGAAGACAGACAGGAAATGTTGGGATGAGAGAGTGGGGGATGACATGCAGCAAAGAGCAGAGGTCAGACTCTAACCCATGGCGGCTGCAAAGAGGGAGTACATACATGCAGTACATACAATGCAGTACATAGGGAGTGCAACATAACCGCTAGGCTATCCGGCGCCCATGCAACTAATGTTTTTGCAAGGATGTGACAGCAGCTGAAAGGTGGCTTAATATCTAATTTGTTGACTGAAATGAATCAAAGAATGCATCAGATTTGAGAAAAATATGTCAGAATTGGTAACAAAACATATTTAGGAATTAGATTCTTAAAAAAATGTATCTCAGGAGGAGATTTATATTTGAGGGGCATAATCTGTGAACACATATTGAATACGAGTACGAACTTAAAAAACCTGACCAGTTTCTCACTAACATTGAATGTTTTCTTCCAGTCCAGCTTGACATTTGAAGATAGACTGCAGGGATATAAAAACAAAGCATGAATTTGGTGTTCTTTTCTCTGGCTTGTCAACCGAATGATTCAGGAGTGTTTGATAGCAATTTCTCACAGAGCGGCTCTGCTGGCATTCTTCACAAAGCCCAGACTACCAGACTGCTCCTTCACTTCCTCACGTCTCATACAGCTGCTCCCTCTATGACATTTGCATTTGTCTTTATTTGCTGTCTGTTTGTTTTCAGCTTATTTTCCTCCTTTCTTCCATTAACTTCAGACTGACAGACACCACTCATGTTGAACACATACATAGCACTCATCCACACAAGTCTGATCCAAGTCTGCAGAGTGACACATGGAGGATGTTTACTGCAGCTTCTCAACACTCGTCTCTTCTTGAAGAAGCAAATCATGTCCACAACAGTCATCACAGCTCATTTGTTACTTTAGTCACTCCCTCATTCTCATTCCCTTCCTCTCTCTACCTGATTGCTTATCTCCTAATTGCTTTTCTATAAGCGGATGTAATGTGTGCGTGCGTGCAAACATGCAGCATGTGTGGAGGAGCGCCTCTAAAATCTTTAGCAGTGTTGTCCTCTAAATGTCTCATTACTCCCCTCATGGGCGTAATTGCTGCACTAAGCACGGTTGCATTAAGACCCCCAGGGTGAATATGATTAAAAAACTATGAAATTGCTAAATAAAAGCATCAATTGTAATTCAGCAGGGGGAATCCTAGGAGAAGAGCTGAGTAGCCTGAGCTAAAATCATGAAGGACCTCCACGTCTAGTGGGTAAAATCTGAACACTGATCTTTTCTCAGGGGATTTGAACACAGAGGAAATCAGAATTTTTAAAATTGCTCTGTAGAGTAAAGGAATCTCTATGTGCGATACAAACTTTGTTAGAATAAGGGCCTCGTCATTAGCTGAACTCTGAAATTATATCCACTTCGATCTGTTTTTAGTATCTAATGTTTCTGTTTTCAGGTGAGCAAACCGCCAAAATGTTCACCCTGACTTTACCTTGGACTTTTTTCTGCCAGCCAACTTTTAAAATGTGTGACGTCAGCTGAAGTCAGGGTGAGTTGCAGTGTGAATGTAGTTATCCAGGTAAAATCAATAGTGCATTCTTTGTGCTCATAATCAAGCGGCTTCATACTCTTTTCTGCTCACTATTATGATTTCCTCCCCTCTTTTCTTTATGTTGTGAATACATCCAATCACACGAAGCATCGATATAAAGGCACAAAGCTGTTATAGTGATAGGCTTTGTTGTTTTGTCCGCCATCTTGGATTTCCAAATCATCATCCCTTGCCTCCTGAGACCTCGCCCCTCCAGTGAATAAGCAATTCAGAAAGATTTAAGGGGCTGTCCTGAACTTTACTAGATATTTTCAGGACTCCTTCAAAATATCAAGATCATTTCAGGAGCACTGCTCCGAATATTCTCGTGTCCTGGCTGTTCATATATGCACCTCACAGCGGGAGATTATCCCTTTCAGACGGGAGAGGGGGGTGGGGGTCTCCCAAGGTAAGACATTACATTGAAAAAAAAAGATGTGGAAGTATCGGACGGAGCAACAGAGGCCGCTATACGATGCTATAATGAAAATATTTGTCTTTATATCGGTGCTACGTGTAGTTTGTTGGAATCACACTATCAACAAAAGAGCGGAGAGCAACACACTGACTAACAGAAAACGCAATAATAATAATAATTATTCATTTTATATAGCGCTTTTCTAAATACTGAAAGACGATTTGACAAAAACAACCAAAAACAACTTACACAATGCAGCTGTTTAAGTACGTGCACAGAGGTCTTAGAGGTTTCATACACTCGATGCAACATGCAGCAGTCACAGTATATAAACCTCACTCCCCCTCCCATTGGCTCGAGGTGAATCCTCCTGATTATATCCTGCTGCTTTCTCAGCTCACTCGGACTTTCTGTAGAAAAAATACAAAGGTACCTAGCAGGAGAAACTTCAGGTAAAGTCAGAGTGAGAAATTCGGCTGTTTGCGTTCACACATACAGCTCCAGCAGTTATCAGGAGTTTTCTGCAAGTGTGAAACCGCTATGAAACAGTTTTCATATCCCCCAAGCCTGCATTGGAATCAATTTGTGCAGCCTGTTGTTCAGAGTTACTGCTGCATTTCATCTCCCTGATATCATCCAGTGTTTCCTATTCATTCCCCAGAGTGTACAGAGGTCCGTACACAGCTTATGAAACACATCCTACTCCAGCTGTTCATATTTATCTGGTTAATTATGGATTGGCTTTTTATGTGGAGCAAATGTAAAGTCAACAAGTTTTGAGAACAGAACGGTTTTTAAATATTGAATGCAATGTCTCACAGAGGAGCCTCAGTGCGCTTTTAAATGAAGAATTGCAACTCGTCTTTCTTCTGAGAAATGTGTGCAGCATGGCAAGCGGTTGGGTGGCTCATTGCATGATGGGAAAAGGCTTTAAAAGAATGTCAATGAGAAACACTTTATTTTAAGGTTGGCTGTGTTAGAACAATATAGTGTAAACTTTAGGCAGACAGCTGATTTGTAACCAGTTGAGACTTCAGAGAGTAACTATCTTTCCCTCTCCTTACCAAACAGTGAAGCAGAAATGATTTGCTTTTTTTGCGGATTTAAATAGAAGATTTCTTTTTTGAGGTGTCTTTATCTTTGTATGACAGACACATGTTGTTTCCTTATAAAACAGCATTTTCAAATGTCGCTGGCTAAAGCCTTAAACAGAAAAGATACACATGTGAAAAGGAAACAGGAATAGTCGCATTTATGTCCATATGATGATTTCTATCATTCACAATAAAAATCTGACAAATCAGAGAAATAAAAGCATTTAAAGTGTTTTTATGTCAGCCCAAAGTGGCTCAATCCATTTCCTTTTGTGAAAAAGTGATAAAACGTAGACAGGCCAGTAGCATTAATGTCAAATTTGTAGAATCCTGTATTGTCAGGATAGCCTCACTAATCATCTCTGTAATATATAACTATATGTTGATGATGCAATAAGGTTAGGGGGTTTATAATTCATATAGGATCTTTATGTGTACAGTATATATATATGCATCTGTATCTACATTTGTTCATTTGTACATATACAAAGTGGAGCATGAATCAGTCTTAGATGAGCAGTTGTCTCTCACATTGAAGCAAAATATAAATCAATCAAAGTGACCATGGGGGGGCGGGAGTGCTACGATAAGTCTCGGTGGGTTTCAATGGTTGTAAGTCCACGATGTATAACACTGAAAGGATGAACGAAAGGTTCACAACTTTCCATTTAGTGCATAAAGTCTCACAGTGGGGAGGTAACATGTTGAGGAGAATCCTTGACGAAGTCCACAGCAGAAGTAATACTTTGTAAATCAGAGGAATCACATATCCAGACACGAGGAAGGATTTATGAGAAAGAAGAAGGGCTCAGAGATCAGTTAGTGGTTTGTTTCAGTCTTCAACAGTTGTGCCATTCAAATCAATAGAAGCTTAAATTCTCTTTCACTCCTGTGGCTCTCAGACTCTTCCTTATCATCGTCCTCTCTCCTCCTCTCCTCAGCTATAGAGCCACATTGAACTCGGTCACCAGGAAGTCCACGTGGTCCTTCTCTTTGGTTTTGAAGGCCTCAGCGATGATGCGTGCGGCGTCCCTGTGCTCACGGCCCCTCATGGAATTCCCGTTAACCTCCAGGATCACTTGACCCACCTTGAGCTGTCCGCAGTTATGAGCTGAGCCCCCCCTCTGAGAGAGAGAGAGAGAGAGAGAGAGAGAGAGAGAGATCAAAATAAGACAAAATAAGAAGGAACTAGGGTTGTCACAATATCAGTAGTTAAAATGTCGATAGGATACGAGTGAAAATCAAATGATACTGTTACTTGTTTTGATATCACCTTGGCACATAATCTTGGGTAATTTCTTGTTTTTAATTAGAAAAAAAAGGAAGCAAACACCTTCACACTGTCTCAATTGCATAAATCAATTGACAACATTTCAGTTCTGAAACATTACCGATGACAAGTACTCTTTCTCTTTCTTTTACGACAGCTTTGGGTAAAAAATATGATGCGTGATTGTGGCCTGCCTATGTTCTACTGTTTGTTCAGCAGTGATATGTGTTTTCTACTTGTTCCTCTTACAGTTTGGTATCCTAAATCAATCTCCCAGAGGGCAGAAGCTGACACTTGTCATGTAGGATATGAAATGACTTAACTTAACAGAGAAGTCAGGAAATTTCACAAAGCTGTGAGTGTTGTAGAAAGTATTAATCCTATCTTAGTTTAAATGCAATCATCATTTCAAACATTTCTTAGGTAAATATCTTGAAGTTTAAAAAAAAAAAACTAACTGCAGTGCAGATTCAAGGCTGAGCCCCCCCACAAAAAATCAATTTGCTGAGGCAGCCCACAGGCCCTACAGAGAGTTTTAGACTGAGATCCCTGGTTTTGTTCTATCACACCAAAGTTAACACGCTTTATAAATACCCTAGCTTAATTTGAAACATCCTCCTATAAGTAGGTCAGGTACTGTAAAAGCATACAGAAATAGAAACAGAGGGAACAGAAAGAACACATTCACAGACATCAAAATACACACACACACACACACACACACACACACACACACACACACACACACACACACACACACACACACACACACACACACACACACACACACACACACACACACACACACACACACACACACACACACACACACACACACACACACACACACACACACACACACACACACAGTCTGGCCCTGAGAGCACACAATGAAGACTCTGCAGTCAGTACTGTATGCAGTTTCATGCTTTTTAAATTACACGTGATGAATAAAATTTAAAACTTTTTTTCCAACCAGCAACACCCCCTCTCATATCACATGGGATTGAAGGCTTTATATATGATGTTTTGACCCAGCAGATGTCGCCCTTGAGCACCAGCATGAAACCAAAACAACTTGCGGTGCATTGTTGTGTTAGCATGCTAATGCTAGCGATCTTTATTATGCTGGTATCTTCACACTGCATGTAAATTTACCTGAAATGAGCGTGATCTAGAAACACAGTTAAGCAGTGAGTACAGTATGTTATTCTTCTTTTCTCTAGTCCCTCAATTAAACAACTTTTATACACAAGGGGAGGAGTCAGCCGGCCGTCCTGACGATGTAAACAAAGTGAAGATAGGACTCTGAAAACTCTGAAAACATCACAGACAGTGGGACTCGGGTGTTACACCCATTGTAGACAGTCATGACTCACAGAGTTATTTTCAGAGGATATACTTGATTTATATTATATTTAAGAGTGAAAAATCACATATAAAGCCTTTAAATTGATGTCGATATCTTCAGACAGATATTCACTAGACAAAAACTCACAAAACACACAAGAGGTCTCAGCTGGTTGGCAGTGAAATCAGAAGCCTCCAAGAGAAGCAGCAGATTGCTACCCAACAAAGTGCCCCAAGTGTCAGTGTAACTTTAAAACACAATCAGTTCAAGTATCTCCGGCCACAGGCTGAACTCCTGCACAGAGGCACTTAGCCCCCGTGTGAAGAAAGGATCCGAGGCGTCTCTGCTCCGGATGATCGTTTCAAAAAATACATCATCTGAACACTTGATGCCAACCTGAATCATAAGTCATGTTTGTTAACCTTACCGGCTTCTCCTCTACAACCATGAATCCGAAAGGCAAATAAAAGTCATGACAGCTGTTCCTCCCCCCTCACTATTTCTGAGTGGAATTAGTCAGCAGGCTTTCTGTACATCAAGACAGTTCAGGCAAGAAGCTGTGTGCTCTTGAGTGTGTGTGTCTTAAGACAATGAAATGTGCTATGCATGATGTCTAAGATAATAGTTTCTACACACACAAAAACTGCTCTGCTGACCTCTGGTATCATGTCATTGCAGCTCGAGCAGCTTGATGTGACTCTCAAATTAAAAACATTTCAGTTTCAGGTAGAGTGGACTGACAGCGACTGCTAGTTGAGGATCTCCCTTGATTTGTTTTGCTGCTGTTGGATCAACCACCTTCTCCTCTTCCTGCTTAGTAAACCTGACAATCACAATGCAATCAAATATTTCTAATATAGCAAGACTGAGGATGGTTTCAGTTTCGCACAGTTGACCCTCCAGGTCGCCTGAACTGTAAAGAAAAAATCAAACTGCAGCAGATTTATCATTCTTTTCACTAAACTACCAGTGTTAACTCTACCAGTGTTTGACAACTACCTACAAGAACTACTGAGGCTTGTGGTGTACAGCTGTACCTTTAATAAAGGATGGTTGGTTGATTGATTAAGCTTCATTTTAACCAACACATCTGCAGGAACAAAAGCACAACGTTCCATATCCTTATCTTATCACTGTTCCACTTTCTCTCTTTCATGACTCTCTCAGTGACCTCAGCAACTCTGATGACTCAAACAGCAGAAGTATCTTCCACACCAGGACTGCATCATCACCTCTCTTATTTACTCAGCCAACAACAATTACCCCGAGCTAGTGCAGGAGCCGGGTTGTCATGATGGGAAGATGGCGTGATAACGGCCTGTCGCTTCAGGAGGGGGGTGATGGGAGCTGATAAAGAGAGGCAGCAGTGTACTCATCTGTACTTCATCCTCCGCGGCCAACGATTGAGGCGACCTGAGGTGAGTGCCCTCACGCTTCATGACTCCACTGTGCTTACCTCTGATGCCGCACACAGTGTTGTAAAGGGGCCTAGCTTTGATGTGGTGCCATCCTGTCTTTCAGATAGAACCAATGCACTTTGGAAAGCCAGAAAATCGACATGTTTATTCTTGCTTTTAGGCCTAAAGAAAAAAACATCATTCAAATGTGTTGACCTGAACCGAGGAAGTACAAGCCTCAAGAGTTTGTGTGCTTTGCTCCAGGCCAGAGTAACATTGAGTTTGCTTTATTGACGCTTGACGGAACAAAGTTTTCACAGCTTACTTTCCCCTCAAAACTGAGTTAAGTGTAAAATCTCCTCCCAGTGACCCTCAGGCTGCCATGTTATTAATGATTCTGAACAAGTGTGAAGCTACACGGTGTTATTGTTCAGGGATGCAGCAGTGGTGTCATGTTCCTCATGGCTTTGTATCGCCGGTGATTGATCGGGTTTAGTCCTCAGCATACAAAACGTTATATTGAAACTATGCAAATCCAAAAATGTTAAGTGATATTTCAAGGCTGAGAAATTATTGTAAACTGATTAAAAATTCTGTCTACTTGGCTGAATGGTTTTTATTCACTTAAACTGTTTAAATGAGCTCGTAAAATGGACTGAAACCTTGTTTCAGGCAGCATCATTGGACCTCCTCGTGTCTCTGTCCTTATAAACCAAAGCTCCCAGGGAGAGAGAGGGCCATTTCCTCAGTTATATTCTGTGGCAATCAGCTGCATTTCTTTATTAGTGTCTCAGTCTGCACAAATGAGAGGTTGAAATATTTCAGTCACTTCCTTGCTCTTGTTAAAAGTATGGAAGCTGCATGAGTGCAAACAAAGCTTCAGGGATTATTCATTTTAATAACTGGGATACATCCATCAGCTTCTTCTTGAGAAACTTGAGCGGTTGGATGTTATAGTCATTTTTTGGCCCGTTCCACATGATAGAAAATAATAATACCAGTGATACTCTCACCCAGTCTTTTCCATCTTATCTTAATCCTCTCCCTGTAGGAGCTCCTGCTTTGTTGTCTCTGAGTGAAACAGCAAAAGGTATCTCGTACAATAGTGCAGAAAAAAGCAGCTCTGATATAACATTGGGCAAGCTGTGTCCTCACTTCAGAGGACAAGAACAGAAACACAAGTTGAAATGGATGAGAAGCTAATATCCATACTCCTAGGGTGTGGACTTCAAGCACTGATGGGAAAACAGCAGTTTGGAAAAAAAAACACTTTTTTTTTTCTCCCAATGAAACCTTTCCCACATTGATGTCCCCATCACTGACACCGCCGCCAAACACCAGATTACTGCTTCCCCCACAACACCAGACCTCCTCCTCCTCTCTCTCTCATCATTACAATTCTTTATCATTCCTCCTCTCCTTATCAACAGCTCTCTCATTCTTTGCATCCTTCACTCACGCTCACCGTGCTTTCTTCCAGTGCACCCTTTGATTTTGAATGTGCTGATTTTCCGATCCTTTTATCCCTCCCCTCGCAATCACGGACCCTTTTTTTATTTCAATCACTACCTCTGTGGAGTGGGAGGCTGAGACCGCTTTGAAAAGGTGTTGACTGTAGTCTGGAGCTGCTGGCCGCTCTGATCTCTAAATTATAAAACCCTGGTGTCTGTGGTTAGGAAATGATTCGTGCCACAGATAGTCCTGAGCTAATATCAGGCTTTGTTGACTTGCAAATTGCCCTAATAGACAGATAAATGCACACCCAGTCAGAGCCGTAGCTTTCTTCAGACATGACTAAGTTCTACTTTCTAACTAGGCTGTCAATATTTGGATTTCACTTTGCATCGCTAGGAGAGTTTCAATTGTTTGTCAACTTAGACACCCTGCAAATGTAAAATAGATTGAAACAAGATGAAATAAGATTTGTTTAGTCATTTATTCCAATTAACTTGTGCAACTCTTTTCAGTCTCATGGTTAAACCAAACACTCTTAAATCTCAACGGTCTTATCCTTAGTATGAAAGGCGATACATTATGTAATCTCCCATGGGTGCTGCTGATCCTGCCTTTTATTACAACGCATCAACATCATAGCTACTGTTCATACTTAAACGTTATTGCAGTGAATCGCCGTCATCTCCAGGCAGACAAGCCTTTTCACCATCAGTGTGACAGACCCCGACAAGGACAAAATTAGCAGCAACATTAGGAGCAATCTTAGAGAAAGTTCAGCTGCAGTGTGACTCCATATAAAGCCTTATGGGACATGAAATCCCACCTGGAAGTTGGGCCCATAGAGCATCATTAAAGGCACAAAACACAGCCAGTATCAACAGGAGAATAGAATAGGGGGTTCTTTTTTAGCATTACTCTTTCTCTTCCTGGCTTACTTGTATTGTGACGATCCGTGGCAGGGGCTGGCGAGTGTTGGCTCCACCTTCAATGGCAATCCCCAGGGTGCTGGCACTCTTTGCAACCCTAACTAGTGTAGAAGTGGGCTCCAACAGGCCCGGCTGCAGAATAAGAGCAAGAGGAACACAAGTAAATATATAAGAACATTTTTCTAATGCATATTTATGACCCTGAGTATATTCTGACATTGCTCAACCTCTCTTTGTCTGCTGCCCCTTTGTGCCACTATGAATACATATGCAGTGTTTTACATATATTTACTGCCTGTGTTTACCCGTAGAGCTTTGCTTTCTCTGAGCACACATGCCCAACAGCACTCCCTATGGATATAAACATTCATAAAGGCCATGACTGTATAGTAACCAGTATTCACTCCTTGTTACATGAAACATCCAGTTCACAGCTTCACAAGTTACAGGACAAAAGAAATACAAGCTTCTGAATTCACTCATGACATGTTCTGTCATTTAGTCACCTTTAAGCTAAGCTTCTGTTTCACTGGCTTCTATAATGCAAAGGGAGTTCATTTCTCCAAAGCCTTTTTTAAAAATCTTTATGTTTAACATGTTCAAGATTTTCATGTCCACATACACAAGATACTGTATATATAATTTCTGCACGATCGGTAAAGAGACACACAAGATAAAACTACAGCATCCTCTCTTCTATTCTAGTTGGGGTCCTTCATTGTTGCATGTTGCAGCCCCCCTTTCTCCGTGCACCATGTTTTCTGTTGATAACAGAAACAAGGCATACCCCCCTGAAATACATTCAATAAATTAAACTGCTGTACTAGATGGTCACATTTGAAGGCTGCAATAATTTTTTGGCCATTACGACACGCTAGCAAACATCCAAGTAGCATTGTTCATTTGTCTACTTGGACAGAACATTCTGGAAACATGTTTAAACTTTTCAGTAAAGGCTTACAGATGAAACCTCCACACTTACAGTAATCTCAGGTTACAGAGGCCGGAGGAACAGAGGCTATTTCTCAAGAAGCTTGAATTTGATTCTGTAGAAAATGAACTAGCTGGTTAGTTCATCGTCATGTCAGCCTTCTCTTAGACATGTTATGTGGCTTGCAGTGTTATCTTCATTGACTCTGAGCCACTTTCACATACTCGCTCACAGCTGCCACAAGCAGTGAACCTGTTGTGAGTTTGACTGACATAAGGACGAGTGGACTATAAAAAGGCTCAAACAAATGTCCTCTTTACGTTTATTCTGGGCTGTTTTATGAGCACATACGTTTTCTCTTATCACCACACTCCTGTTTGACACCTTGGAACAAACAGAATGTAAATCACTGACGCCTAAGCAATAAAATGATGCTTTTAATGATACAAAGTCAGTTTAGCCTTTCCATTTTCTTCTTGATAATTCAAATCTTAAACAGACTGTGAATCAAACAGCTCTACCATCATAAACATTTAGCCTGCTCAAATCCTTGCGTGTTATTCCTGCCATCAATCAAAGCAAACCACACAGGCTTCAGAGTTTCATTACACTACAGTGCAGTGAGCGATGGAATAAATGATGGAGCATGTGACTGAATGAACGACATGAGTGAGGAATAAACAAATGAGTGAAACAAAAAGACACACTGTGTGATAAACAGAGGGAGGAGAGAAGAGATCACTGTTAGGACTGAGAACAGATTCAGTAGGAGGATTAGTAATAAAGCACATCCATTTATCAACCTCTAACTCTTAGTATGTATTCAGCTAGTGCACACATGTTTGTATATCTACACTTGTGAGGACCCCCAGTGATAAGTTTTCTACCCTTATAACCCAGTAATGGTAATCTGGATTAGTCCCAAACTGAACCCTGTGACTCAGTATTAATGCACGATCAGCGCTTTGAAGAAGTGAGGAGCCAGGACTTTAATGTCCCTCACAACAAGTATGTTAGATGTATATACTGTATATGTATGTGGTGGAATTTCTGTATTAAGATTTAAGTGTACAAACATCATTATGTTTATTCACTGTTCTCTGATGTCAGTCAGACCTGATAAAGTTCAGCTATGACTAGAAACCAAGGACAGCTTAGTGTGTCGAGGTTCTTCCCCTTTATATCTGCATGTTTGGTAGACTTAGTGTCTGTTCCAAATTGACATCACAGATTAGTTCAGGTCAGTATGACTCTGACGTCAATAATGTCTTTTCTATATATTCAAAGCCTGTCGAAGAGTTTGAGAGAATTGGCATAGCAGGGACACAGCATCAGACGAAGTATTCTTGTATGTATAAACTTTCATCAACGTAAGCCATCTGAGTCAACTGAGTCTTATTGTGTTAAGTCAAGTTCTTAATAATTTCCTCAACATGTATAGGCATCGGTGTGGTGTATCTGTATTAAGTGCAGGCAAGCCTTACAACTTTTTATAACTGTCAATCAATGTAACGATCAGTATGGATCAGCTCTTTCTGTAAGCATGTTCTGCCTGTTCAGTGACAGGCAGTGGATATTAGCATTAGCTATAAATGCTGTGGTGTACTGCATTGGGAAATTGTTGTTCAGTTCTCTATGTGTACTGCTTCTGTCCCTGCCAAATCCGCAGAGGAAAAAGAAATTGGTCCTCACAAAGATAGAAATACAACAGCACACATTTCTTATTCCACAGAGTTTTACAATTAATTAGCTTATCTATTCATGTTCTTCAAACATCTGTTCTGATTCACCCCCTCACCGGTTTGGAGGGGTTGTCCCCCCCGCCCCGCTGCGTGTCTGGAGGTTGGTGTGTGCGTGAGGAATTGGGGCTGCTGTCTTTGCTGATGTGTCCTGACTCAGCTATGTCCACCCCGCTGTCCTCACTGAGGGTCTGCCCGCTGTCTGACAGCTGAGATAGGGCACCACCTGAGAGACAACAGGCACACATGATGATGTCACAACACAACACAGCACAGTAAGTAGCTATTCAATCTTATCGAGTAAAAGTGTTGTTGTTTCAGTCTTTACTTTTTTGAGTTTTCCGCATATTGACAGAAATAAAGGGAAGTACTTTAGTTTAAGATGCTGTCATGCTTAGCTGCAATGAAAGAACAACTCAGATTTTTAGATTTGTGCCAAGGTAGATTAGATTGTAAAATGTAATATGAGATTAAAAGCTTATTGAGATTAGTGTCGTTTTGCATTAAGGGGTATTTGTGCACATTATTCTTCCTTATTGCTCATTTAAGCACTTTAGGGCCAAGTGAATTCAAACGTTCAGACATAATAAATTAATTACTGAAACTAAGCATTTTCTTATGTCACACAGAGACAATACGTCTCAAAATCTCAGTAAAAGGATCCCAACTGCACTCCAATGTGAATGTTTCATAATCACTACAAATACTTAAATCAAGATGTTTAACATGAGCTCTGAAGCTAACATATCAAATATGTTTGCTTTTCTTGGCATGATAAATTAACTACAGCATGGGTTCTACAAAAAACTGGTGTTATAGTTTTGAAAGGCCTGCCAAGTGTGAAATTTATTTCAAAACACAAAACTTCGAATTTTATTCATTGAGAAATATTTTTGAATCATTCAGTAGTTTAAAAATAATTACGTGCAGCCCTACATGTACATTTTATTAATTTCAGGAAGTAAATGACTAAAATGTGACACTCTCAGGTCTTCACTTCGACACTCCTCACCTCGAGCTTGAGGCAGCGGGCGCACCTCGTTAACGTCCGGCTCTGCGTTGGGTCTGTGAACCTCCACTGTAACAAACTGCGGTTTAGCACCAGCAGAGGACGCTTTGGACATGGAAACTGGCTTGAGAGGCAGAGATGGGGGTGGAGGAGGAGGAGCAGGGAGTGGAGGTGGTGGTGGCGGTGGAGGTGAAGGGGGAGGGGGAGTAGGTTTGGTGACTCTGTTTGGGGACTGGACTCTGGGGAAGGGGCCGATGCTGTGCTGGATGACCTTTGACAACTGGGCAGATGTAATTTGGTCCTTCTTTGAAGGAACAGGGGGGTCTCTCTTTCTGACCACTGCGTAGTCCCGAGAAGTGTCCTTCGGGTGTTCTCGTTTGTGGTGCAGAGAGGGCGAGGCTGCCGTGCGTCCTGGCTCTTTGCTGTGGTTGTGAGAGGTCTGGGCTGTGAAGTACAAGCCTGAATGGGAGGATTCGGACGAGGGGCATTTGTTGAGCTGATCTCGTCTAGTCGGGCGCCTCTGCACCCCCGGTGGGGGCGGAGGCTTGAAGGAGGGGGGAGAGTCAGCTGTGGTGGACTGTACGTCATCCTGAAGTGAGAGGATATATTCATCAATGATTGCTAGATTATTTGTAGATTAAGAGTGTGATGGTTTATTATTGAACAGAATACCATAATAAGAGCACACTGCTTACACACTGCCCATTGGATTAAAAAAATATATTTCTGCATAAATTAAATGCCAGAGGGCGTAATGTTAATTAATCTATCAATGTTATTAACTACGAGACATTCTAAGAAGCCATGAATCACATATGGTACATCAGTAGTACATCAAAAATCTGTTCAAATACACGTTTTAAGGGCCCTGAGGTATTCCTTCATCTTCATTTTAGTTTTATGTTAATTAAAATGAGCTTTTCTTTACTAATTACATTTCTTATGTCTAGATGTAATTACAGATGATTTGGAATAGTTTATCCAGATTTTAAGATGCCTGTCTATTACACTTGTGCAGCCAAAATAGAGAAGGGTTATGGGGTTTCAATATCTGTTACAGTCACAGTTTTGAAAATTGACATTGTGCATTACAAAAACAGTTTCCAAGGTTACTCTAGATATGGATTCACCTTTAAGTTGATCCTATGTACTAACTCGAACCAGTGTGGTGTTTGGTTTTCCTGAAATCAAAAGGAATATCTGCAGTATTTGGAAAAGTTCATGTTTCGATAACCACAAAGAAATTGCCATTTTAGGTTAAATAAATTAAACGTTTTTGGGTGATACATCGCTTTAAGACATGGGACAACAACCAGATATTGTATCTTAAATATATATAAATGAGGGATTAAAAAGGGAAAAAAAATATAGAAATTTTTAGAGTCACAGATTTTGTACCTATTTAAACATGCAAAGGAAATACATTTAAAATCAAAGTCTGACCGAGTGCTTATGTTTGTGTGCTTCCCACATGGACACAATTCTAACCACACAATACCAACCAACTTCAAGATGTTCAATGCATCCAAACCAGGTTGGACACGTTGCTGCTTCCGATGTTTTCCTGTGTTTCAAGGTAAGAGTGCTCGAACACAAACTGAACAGTGGAATGAACACTGAGACATGAGTGGCTCCAATGGATGGAAAAAGACATAAAATGAGCTCCAAAAATAAAAGTAAGGTAAAAGTAAGGTATGGTTTGAGTGGCAGGTAGACTAAAAGCTTTCTCCTTGAACTCCTGCACATTTTGTGCTGCTCAAAACAAACAGATGAGACCTCTCAATATCTCTGGTTGCTTTCAAAACTGCGCAGAGGCGCAACCAAAAGCCTCTTTTTGTTACAGAGACAGAGGGAAAGGAGGAGGAACAGGACAGGTGGCATACAGAGACCTCTACTCTCCTAACTCACAACAGAAAAAGGGATGAACAGAGCCAAACTCTGTCTTCTATCTCACACTCTCATTTCTTTGCTTAAAACTCTTGTTGTACGCCATCTCAGGTCACAAAACAAAGCCTGCATGTAATCTCAAGTATGTCCATCCATCCTCTACATCTCCACTCCTTTCTTTACCATTATCTTCAAACCCCTCCTCTCTTTTCCCCTGTGTTGCATCCATCTCTATCAGGCCAAAGCAGGAGCCTGTGCCTGCCTGTCTGACTGCCAGGCTCACCAGAGAGATGTCGGTCAGCAGCGTGTTCAGACTCTCCGGAGGATCCCCCTCATTACTCTCGGCCACGCTGTCGTTCTGAGGGACGTGGAAGAGAAATGGAGAGAGAGGGAGGAGAGGTGAAGAGAAAGAGAGAAGGTGGGGAAAGAGAGAAGGTGGGGAAAGAGAGGCAGAAAAAAAACAAAATTAGATTTGGTGGATGTTCCTAGAAAAAAAGACACAGTGCCAGTAACTGTGATTACTTTCTTGTCTTTAAAAGAAAGGCAAGCAAATAAAGCATCCACACATGCACACATGCACACATGCTCACACACACACACACACACACACACACACAAAACAGTACTATGTGTTCTTCCACGAGCTAAACACACATGCTGTGAAATCGATACAGAACCATCAGCTCAGTTCAAAGCAGGATTTGGCAGTCCAATCCCAGCAGCCTGGCTGAGAGGAGGTAATTTGCAGCAGATCTGTGAGTGATTTCAGAGCAGAGCAGCTGAGTTCAGAGAAACGCTGCCCTTCATTTAACTCTGCCACTAAACCAAAACAAAAGCCCCATCAATTTGGCTTAATTGCACCCGTTACTGCACGGGGAGCAATTACAGACAATTTATCTATCACAAGAGTCAATCGACTTTGTACATGCGGAGACGCTGCTGTGCACAGAGCGGCCAGAGCACGCGGTGTTTGCATGGATGCTCCACAGAGAGTGTGTGTGTGGGTGTCTGTGCACGTGTCAATCAGTCTACCCAGGAATCATATTAGACAATTCTGAAGAACAGGATTTGCATTCAGTGCAACTGATGGGTGTGATGTACATTTTATGCAGCATTGTAAATTATGATGGGTGGCTGAGTTGGTAGATTGGGTCGTCTCTTAACCGGATGATCGAGGGGTTTGATCCCCAGCTCCTGCAGCTACATGTCTGATGTGTCCTTGGGCAAGACACTTAACCCCAAGTTGCTCCCTCTGCTCTGTCGGCGGCGTATGTATGTGTATGAATGGGAAAAGTTACTTCTGATGGTCACTGTACATAGCAGCCTCTACCATAGGTGTGTGAATTGGTAGATGTGACATGTGGTGTAAAATTGCTTTGAGTAGTCAGAAGACTAGAAAAGTCGTATACAAGCTCTGTTAACCATTTACCATTATGACAAGATGTGGAGTGAAAGAAGGGGAAATTAAGGTTTCATGCACAAAAAGCTCTTCTTTGTATTTTTTTTTGTGTGTAAAACAACTCATTCTGCATCAGTTGTTCCAACACCTATACGTATTGTCCGTATCTGCCTTTAATTCTGCCTAAAAGGCTGTTGAGTTTACACAGTATGGAAGTCAAAGCAACTAACCTTGTTTGTAATTTATTAGCCCAACAAATGAACTGCATGGTTTCAGCTGAATAATGACGTGATGATTACCAGCAACGACAATGTTGAGCTGACAGAGTTTAATGTAAGTCAAGGCTAGTTAAATGTCTGCAGTCAGTGTTTTTCTTCAAATAGTATGTGTAGTGTCATTGTTACTTGTGTAAGTAACTCACTTGTTACTTGTGTAAATTTTGACATAACTGGTTTTGAAATCTGGCTGAATTTCAGCTTGATTGCTCGTTGTTGGCCGTGTAGTGTACAGGGGGGCATGAGGGACGATCAGCTGCTTCCGACCAGTCAGATAAAATTCTGGCATGTTTGAAATTTTGGTTGTATGAGTGCATACTCTCACAAAGTGAAAGCAATGCGACAAGACAATTCTTCAACTTCAAGGCTTTTTTTCCTGAGTGTGCCTGCGCAAAATGGCAGACAGCGTCTGAAAGCCCCATATCAACAATAGCAGGCAGGTCTGTTTGATGTGTCTTCCTCCTCCTATCAAGAACAATATAAATGAGAGAAACATGGGCAGGAAAATGCTGAGGACCTCCAGCAGCCAAATGTGTTATGGTTTAGTTTGCTTGTTAGCTTTGGTTTGTAGGTGATACTGAGTGTGTGTGCGTGTGAGAAAGTGAGAGCGTGTTGACTGTGTTTGTATGAAGCTCAACATGACCGCACAGTATTTCCACAGCTTTGGCAGAAGTTCATTTCCCCCTGCATTCAAATCCTCAATTGACATTTCAGAAAATCCTCATATCAATAATTTTAATCCTGGAATCAAGACAACCAGCTTCCTGAGTACTCATGAATATCAAACATTTGATTCGGCACAAAAAACAATTGGAAAACAGAGGAAAAAGCAAAGGTGCAAGAATGTGTACATAATCTTTTCTGAGAGTAAAGGAACTAACACGTCCAAAAATCCATTGCAAGTCCAATGAGACCTAAAAAAACACACATGAATGACTTCAACTTCCACCTGTGGCAATTTTCAAAGGAAACTTTTTTGACAACTGTTGATTCTCTGTCCCGATTAAACATGTTCAGTGAGTGCACTGACAATAAGACTGTACAGTGAGAACACATAAACAGTGAACTTTAGTTGTTCGATATAAATGATCCACCGTACGCTGTGAGATGACACTCCAACACAACATCTATCAAATTGTACAGTTTCCTGCCATAATAGAGGTACTCAGTATCATACAGTACCAAAGATTAGATATCTGAATCGGTTCAAGAAAGGAAAAATGTATTGCAAGACCCCTAGACCAAAAAGACAATTACAAAGCATTTTGAATCCCTTCTGGTATGACATCATCTCTACAACATGACTCCTCGGATTCTACAATGGTTGAAATTTCTGATCCCTGAGGTCTATCTCTGTATCTACCTCTTGTTCCTGTTGACAAACTGCAAAGTAAACCTTCTCCTAAATGTATAGATGCAGTCTGACATGACACTAAGGTAAGTTATTCAAGGTGCATTGATGATCTAGACTTGCTATGTGGTCACCTTTAAAGATAAATAAAAACACTGCAATTTATATTCAGGTTTTTTGAAAGTAGCTGAAAATGACTAATCTTGACCATGTCTTTCCCACAAGAAAGATGTCATCTACATGTGTTTACATAACACTAACATTGTGAGTGAATGTTATTTGAGATTTAGCTGAATAATCTTAAACCAACATTTGGTGCAGCCAGTAGGCCTAAATCTGAATTCAGGTTGCAACTGTGTTTGTGTCTTTAGCCATTATGATCTGGTGTTGTGTTTGATTGTTTACCATATGCATGTGCACGTGCATTGGTATGCAGCTGAACATATACCAGGCTGTGAGTGTGATTCAGAAATCCAGTGTTATCCTCTGAAACCCACCCAGCTCTCTAATCTGCTTAACACAGCAGTGGTAGCATTCACCCATGGGTCCAAACACACAGATTCATAGGAAGAATACTGATCACACACACACACACACACACACACACACACACACACACACACACACACACACACACACACACACACACACACACACACACACACACACACACACACACACACACACACACACACACACACACACACACACACACACACACACACACACACACACACACACAATTCATGGAGGAGAAAGCACACAGGCACAGAAACCCATCTGAGGGATCTGAATGAGAAGGAGTGTTTAGTGGCAACATCTGCAAACAGCTCATTTTCTCTGTCAGCTTAAACAATGTGTGGTCATGCATGTGTGTATTTGTGTTAATGTATGCAGCTGTCTTTGCATCAGTGATCTTCATACACAATCAAACATTTGGTCGCTGACATATTTACTACACACAAACACATTTGGTTTGAATTGTTGACATGCGAAATAGACATAAACAGAACTGAGGTTGATAAGTGGTTGGGCAGTCTCGCCCTTTTTTAAATAAACACTGATCAGATCATTCTAAATAGTGAGAATTCAGTTACTTCACTAAAGGCCTGAAACTAGAGTTCATCCTCTTTTTTTTAGCGAGAGTTGCATAGGAGTATAATAGTTTCTTCTATAGGATGACTATGGTTATTCTTTACAAATAAAATACTTAACTATTAAAAGTACTAGTAATAAAAAACTTAATTAATGAATTTTACATACAATAATTCTACATCTGATGCCTACAGATTTCATATACATTTATTTGCAATCAGCATGCTTTACTTTTATGTGTAGTAAGGTAATGTTATACCATGTCAGATAACTCAAGTTGGTATCATTTAAATATTCATTGCAGCAAAACATAGCTTGTGTTTGGCGTCTAGGCTCTGACCTCATCTCTCCTGCAGTTTGAATTTACATCTAGAAATTTGAGGAGTGATGGGATGGGATGATATCTTAAACCCCCCCAGTCAGAGTCTACAGGTGGATGCTGGGGTGGTTGTGGGGCTGAGCGAGAGTGAAGTGCTGGTGCAGGTTAGAGCTGACAGTGAAAGAGCAGGGGAGAGAGCATCTTAAATAGACAGCTCATCTGAAGGAGGTGTTGTCAAGTGATTGTGGATGATGACACGTCAGGTGTGAATCCGTGCAGCTTGAGTTGACTGCCTGAACTAGTTCACAGGCGTCGCCTCATTCTTTCAAGTTGTAATGGTTTTCACTAGTACACATTTTCTTGTAGTAAGGAGCATTGTATTTTTATAAGCACAGCTTAATTTTTTTTGTGGGGGTGACACAACTGCAGAGAAAATAGAGCCTTAGTGGAATTATTTTCTTGGCAAACTATATGCAAGACCATCTGTTTAAAAACAAAGCAACACACATGCACATTCAGTTTAGAAAAATACATTGTATTCAAACATATTTAAATTCCAATTGTCCTTATAAAACTAGTAAGAGGCATTTAACTCAGCCATAACACGGACTATCAGGTGTGTTAATCCTTCATACTGTGGAGAAACATAATTTCTTTAAAGCCTCCAAAGTTCTTATTAAATCTATGTCATAGAAAAACAAACTGCAAATAAACTCACAGCAAAACCACAAACGAGTAAGAGTGAATGTGTGTGTGTGTGTGTGTGTGTGTGTGTGTGTGTGTGTGTGTGTGTGTGTGTGTCTGTTAGCTTGGTTCAAATCTGCCCACAGCATTCATTACTTTCAGTTCCTACCTCCATCATATCTATCAGCCAGAGCAGCCTTTCCTACAGATGGGGAGGGAGAGGGGGAGTTTTTTTGTGTAAGATGGAAGTGAGGAGCTTATTGAGGTGGAAGAAAACCACAACCTATCAGATATCAGCTGAGAGACATTTCAATCTCAACAGGAAAGCACTGAAACGCGCCGTTGTTTGGCGTGACAAAGTCCACACCAGAGCAGGTTCTTTGCAGCAGCAGAATCTGTTATAATCCATTGAAATGTATCATACCAGCCTCTCTGCCTCTGCCTCTCACACAGACACACAGAGACATGCACACAGCCAGCAGTGAGGCAGAGTGAGCAGACAGCCAAACAGAGAAGGGACCGATCACAAACCAAACAGGCAGGCAGCGATGAAGGCCCGAAAAATAAACCGCAAAAAGAGCAGCACATGGAATATTTATTTTAAACTGAGAGAGCTAGCAGTTCGACTATACAATATCAAATGTTACTTTATATATGCACCAAATAACTTTCATTATAACAAAAATAAAAAAATCTTATCTTACATGCATTATATCAGGAGAAGCCAGATAATTATTAAGGTGATGAACAGGGCCTACCCGTGCAGAGCTCAGGGTGGTGTTGGTCATGAAGCTGGCTGAAGACGAGGTCAGGGTGTCCGGATACGACACCACTGAGAGGGAGTCTGGTTGGTGTGCCGCTGCTCCACCTGTCCCCTGTCTTGCTTTGAGAGCCTGAATTTCTCGTCGCAGCACCAGCCCGTCAAAATGCTCCAGGTCCTGCGGTGTGACCAGGCCTCGCACCTCCGACAGCAGAGAGAACTGAGGGAGGAGGAAGAGGGAGGAGAGCGGAGGCACTGGTATGATGTTATATACTTAGATGGGTTGAACCAACAAAGTCTACCTTAACACTAGAACTCAATTACTGTAAATCCTGGATTTATTTTTATTTAATCCTTAATGTAACTGGTTTGGCCCTACAATCACAACAGGGCCCTAAATCTCTAGCTCGGCCAAATCCCCTAGTGGTAGAATGAATTAGCAAACTCCATTCAATCTGCAGAGTCCTTTAAGAAAAAGCTTAAGAACACCTTAACTGCACTTAATGATTTTGATGGGACTGATGATGATGACTATATCGATGAACATAATAATGATGATGATGTTCTTGAGGATGGTGTTGATGTTGATTAGATTATTTATGACAAGCTGTCGATGTTGATGATGATGATGATAAAAAAAATCTATGGCATACACCCTGTGCTTTGCCTCTTTCAGTCTCTGTCCAATTAGTGTTTAAGCTGTTTTATTGGCACCGACAGTGTTTCTCTCCTTCATGTTTCAAACACAAAAGCCATACGTTGAGGAGGTAGTAAGGATCATATGTAAGGGCTTTTTAAAAAAATGTATCTGAAGTTTAATTCTTCTGGCCTTGTCTGTTTTCATTGTAAACATCTATGGTTTAATAAGTTGAAATGAGTTTAAGACTTTTATCTATAATGCTGGTGGGATATGGTTCAAACTTCCCATTAGTTTGAAGCCATGCTCAAACTCTACTCTTACAACAAATTAAATACTGTTGTGCTTTTGTACAAATAAAGGAACTACACCTCAAAAAAGCCCTTAAGACAGGTTGCCGTCCAGTCGCTCTAAGTCTCAATTCTTTAGATATAATACAAGAAAGCTGGAAAAGCTTTCTGTGGGAGTGTGAAACAGCAATGTTCCCCAGAATTTGGCAATATAAAAACACCTTTGATTTATTTGTTTCTTTACAAGGTGAACCTCTGCAGACTGTGAGAAAACCCGGAGACTTTTAAGAGGAGGATGAAAAAAAAAAAAAAAAGGAAAATCAGCCACGAGCCTGAGCATATATCTGAGAAGGGCTTAGACAACTTTGATTTAATCCTCACTGTATCAAACACTGATTTAATAGGAGTACAGAAGTCTTTTGAGCCTTTTGTCTTTCTCAGACTCCATCAACCTTCACCTTTGCATGTGTGTTAAGCAGCTCAAACAGCGCCACGACGAGCTGCTCCACTCCGATGTGTCCGTCCCGGTACTCCTCCACGTAGTAGCCCATCGTCTGCCGCTCTGACTCTGTCAGTAGGTGACGAGCCTGCTCCTCCAGCATGGCCCGAGACTGGTTCACCAGGCTGGACAGGGTCACTTGTGAGCCCGCTACACCTTTATAGAAGCCAGACTGGTGGAAATGGGAGGAAAGGAGGAGACAAAAACAACAAAAAGAAGATGGCATTTTCAGTTCTTTCTCTTTTAAATCATTTATAGTTAGTATTAAATTCCAGTTAATTATTCCTTTTTTTTTGCAGGATGGAGACAAGGGATGATCATGAAGAAAATAAAGAGTTAAAGAGCAGAGCAGGGATTGACAGCAGCTGTAAAAAGGTGAAGGATGAGGATGAAGGGTTAGAGAAGTATGAGAAAGAATGGAGCATTAGATAGAAAAGAGGTAAATAGAGATGAAAGAATGGGGAAAAACAACACTCAAAAGAAGAGGGTTAAAATGAGGTGGAAGAGGGACTTGGAACAGTGTGGTTGAAGATTTGAGGGGAAAATCAGGAGGGAAGGAGGACAAGATATTTGGAAAGAGGGGGATAAAAAATTTGGAAGGTGGAAAGGATGGAGGGAGGATGCAGAGGAAGGTTTGGATGGCAGAAGATGAAAGTTGTGAAGACAAAAGAGGCAGATAAAAGAGGAGGAGAATGCAGGAAAAGAAGCAGGAAGACATGATGGATTGGTAGGAAGGAGAGGGAGATAACCACAAAGACCTAGAGATGTAAGAGGAGCAGGAGGAGGTGAGAGGGCAGACAAAAGCTGGCAAAAGATCAGGGCAGAAGAAAAACGACAAGGACATAAATTACACCCACATACACCGAACTAACCATCAGTCTTCTCATCCCAAATGTATAAATTACCATCCTGCTACCTTCTTCCTGCAGCCCTACACTCGTCCATTATCATTAAAGCTTTGTGGCGCTCACACCACAGCTTGCAGGCAGCAGGGCAGAAACTGTCCCGCTCACACATGTGGGTGGCAGGTTGTTGTTTTTTTCTGTTACAGCTTTCATTCCTGTCCCCGAGGTACCAGCTGGCATTCTCTGCCAATCAGCAGGACGACACTCAGAGACACGCGAGCTGTCAATATCACTTCTCAGCTCCATATCTGCTTCTTTTTCCTCTCTCTGCGTGTTCCTTTTTCTTTTCTCGGTTATCTGCTCCCCAGCATGCAGCTTTTCTTTAATTAACTCCTTAATCAAAGAAGCTGCTTCAGAGTCACAGCTTTAGAGTCTGTGAGACGGAAACAAGAGGAAGAAAACAGGCCCACTGCCTCCCCGCTTCCCCCCCTTTTCTACTCTTTGCCTCCACTCGTCCGTCTGTATCATCTGCAGCATTTGTCCCAGGTCTGAGTCGAGCCAAAAACTGTTTAATGTGCAAGGTGAACTTTAGAGCTACGCTGCCTGAATCTTAATCGCCTCAATGCTAACCACAAAAATATCCTCTAAAGCATCCTCACCCTGGTTAGCTTAACTCAAGGGCGCCATTATGTGAACCAAAAGAGCCACGCGAGTCATGTGAGCAGTCAGTCAGTCAGTCCCTGGCTGTCGCATTAGAGGGCAGATTGGCACTTGAGGAAGCTAATGGAATCGGTCGTCACTCAACTGGAGTGGAACACCTGCAGTCTCCTGCTAATGACGTCTGCAGGGGAGGCAGAGAGGGTGCTTTTACTGTAAGAGCACGATTCACAGTTATTGTACATCCAGTCACTCTGGTCCGTCTGTTGGATCTGGTCCATTTATGACATCATTCTCCGGCTGGGTCTGTTAAATAGCAGATAAGCTGATTGGCCTTTTTATCGCAGTGACCAACAACAACAAGCGTCCACATCCAATCGATTAAGAGTTGATCAGATAAAGCCGGAGCAAAATAAAGGACCGAGTTAAGGCTAGGAAATGTCCCACACCTTAGCTCTTTCTAGGGATGCAATGAGACAAAGTACCAAAAAGTAATTTTTCAAAGAGATGTGAGACTACTTTCCTTTCATGCTTACTTGCATAACATCTCTATTAGTCTCAATATAAACTCTTGGTACACAAAAAAGCACTTTACATCTGTCAGGGTCAAAATAAACTATCTACTGTACCTCACTTTTCTGTCAACACAGCTCTGAATCTTTTGACTTTAATAAAAGGCTCCCAGAGAAACAAATACACGGCTGTCCGAGCGGGTTGAGTATAAAGCCCACATAGTCATCAGAAACCTCTTTGCACCAAAAACACAAATAGGGTGACTAATGCTCCCAATTCAAGCAGGTTCCTAAAAATAAAATAACAAAAAACCCTGACGTGCAGCAGTAACCCTGCTGGTTTGAAAAGATCTCTCCACTCGAAAAAAAAGTAAACAGCAGTTCATAAAACATGACTGTGACATCTGAAAACAGCAGTAACAGTTGTTTATGAAGTATTTGATTCACTTAGCCATTTATTATTCAAAAATTCAGAGATAAGCAGCTTGTCATTGCCAAACATGTGTAGTGTATTTAAAAAATCCTTGATATAAGACCATATTTCCACGGCAGCCATGTCGCCCTGACATCCCGCTCAGGGTGGGAAGCTCAAATGTTGTGTGTTATGTATGACATGTAAAGATTGCATAATAGAGTAACAGTTTCCATATGAAAGATTCCTAATTGATAAGAAGAGACACAGAAGAATGATACTGCTAGTCCAGAACGACATCAGGTCATATTTTGAGTACAGTAAAGTAACAATGGAGCTTAAAGAGAGATAAGAACATATGAAACGATGTAAGCTCTAACCTCCGGCTTTACCTCAAGCTGATATAAAAAGATGAGCATTAATATGTAGAACAAATACACACCTTTCTTATCATATCAGTGACTCTCAAATGTAGATTAGCTATATGTGACTGAATGCTAATGTTAGCTGTGTTCGGAGAGAAGATCATTTGTTTTTTAACATAATATGGCCTAATGTTGCTCTGGATTGACATTATCTGTGTTTTAGTTAATCACAGTTTAATGAAGCCAAACATACAGAACAGAAATTCTGAAGGGAAGACCGAAAGTTAACTTTGGCTTTTTAACTTTCATCACTAATTTTGACAGACAAGAAAAAAGACAACACAACCTTAGGTGTGTTTTGTTTTCCAGTTCTTCACCGTGATGGTCAAAATACTTAACCGCACACTAAAGCAAAGATTTGTCTTAACTTCTCACCCCCGCATAAGTTCTATGTTTGCAAAAGAATTCCCTGAAAGAAAGTTGAGGAAAGATTGCAATGCCAGCAATTGCAGAAATGGATTTTTCATGTGTGTGGCACAGATTGTTTCTGACCTCTCAGGGCAGATGTTCTTATTAAAAGTTGAGGCCTAACACAGAGCACATGTGTACTTCTCATGGGAATAAGGGAATATGATTTTGTGATTTACATTCAAGGAGTTCAATTTCTTTGGAAAATATATTTCTCTGACTATGTTTTTTCTCATGTAAGGTAATTAATGACACTTTGTTGTGTTGAACACAAGCTGGTACATGTTAAGCAGCTGACACACGAAGTGTCAGTTTCATCTTTTATAAGAGATGTTAGTTCTTTTATAAAGTTGCCTTTAGCCTCCTTCTTACATTTTAACATGTAAATGTGAAATGGTCCGTTTAGTTAGGTTTAGGCAGAAATAGCACTTAGTAAAGTTAAGAAAAAAGAATTGTGTGTGTTTATAGAAGAGGTGAACATGTACTGATTATTTGTATCAGACAGGATCTATCTTGTCTCTAGTGGGAAAGAATTGTCTGAACCCTAAATCACCCACATCAATCACATCAAGTGGACTTAACACTCCTTCAACCATGTCAACTATGAGCTGTTGCTCTAAATGTTGAATATCGATTGCCTCAACCCTGGGGTGAGGATAATCGAACGTAAACCTACCAACTAAAGTAGACCCCTGAACTAGCCCATAATTACGAGGGTTATTTATGAGTTAAAAAGCAATATTTTTGTATGTTTGGGTACAAACTGCATGAGAACAGTTAGTTTATCTAATTTATCTCAGATTATTGCTCATTAATGATTAATCAAATTATAATTGTGGGGCGCTGATAGCCTAACAGTTATGATGCGTGCCCCATGAACAGAGGCTAAAGTGCTTATTGCAGCGGTCGTGGGTTAGAATCTGACCTTTGCCCTTTGCTGCATGTTACCCCCCCCCACCACTCTCTCCTCCCAACATTTACTGTCTCTCTTCAGCTGTCCTGTCAAATAAAGACAAAAATAAGCCACATCCCCTTTAAAAATGTATATATATATATATATATATATATATATATATATACTTGTAAATATGGAAATACTTGTAAATCAATTTCTCTGCCAATTTTTTTGTAAGTGAAAACAGTAAGTCAGACAACATCTACAAGAAGACTCAACAATGTGACATTACAGGTTGCTTTTGAAGTTGTTCCCAGGTGGACTCCCTGTCTGCTTTGATGGATTTAATATCCAGGTGATCAATGAGAAGAAATGAGTTTAGTGACAAGCTGTCACAACAGATATCAGGCTGCTACATGAAATGGACAAACCCTTCTGGAAGCTGCTGTTTGATCATTTCCTTATTTGCAATACAACCACCACCACCATGACTCGTTGCATTGTTTGATATTGGTCAAAACCTAAATTAAATTGTTTTCAGCCATGTGGTGACATCATCATGTGAGCTGGATTAAGATGTGTGTAGTGTAGTGTGTTGGTGGTGGATTTCATTTAGCCATTCTTCACATAATGCCTGTTTTCTTTGATGTAGCTCCAACTCTGCTCGTCTCTAAAGCAATGGAAATCCATTTTTGTGTGTTTTTTTTAACCATGCTGTTTGTTAAACCTTTGGAAATAAGAAGAGTGTCAAAGAAGTATGAAGCCACTGCAAAACACAAGAAGTCTAAGAATGAAACTTTTCTTGTTTGCCAGATTGCTGTTCAGAGTAGATTTTTATCTCGGTGATAAAAGCGTCTTCGGGGTTCAGAGTGATAACTTTCAGTTTTGAGCAACAGCAGTTTTGCTCTTTAGAAGTTTATCTTTGAATGCCTTGAGCTTTCGCTATCAGATGTTCAAGCTTTTCAGCTCGGTGTGTGTGATTACTTTTTGTTATTATATTATAGTACATTTATAGGTA